CTGCAGTAGGCCTAGGCATTGGCGTAGGCGAATGAGCTCTCAGCAGATAATCGCGAATCTCCCCATCCGATATCAATTCACATAACGGCGTCTTGGGTTGCTCGGGGGATGAACGTGCCGAGCGTATGACCCGCCTAGGAGACCCCGGTGGAGTAACCTGCATGACAGTCTGCAGGGTCAGTACCGTTGGGGTCGGTCCTATCACGGCCGCCGGGACCAAGGGCACTGACGAACCCAAATTGCAGTGTCGAGCGTGGTCGGGTTTCTTGGGCTTGTGGGCCGTTTTGTCTGCCTTATCCTTCTTAGCCTTCTTGTGGCTAGAGGCTTTATCAGAGCCAGCATGTTTCCTCTTCTCCTTGTGTTTGTGAGGGGGAGAAGGAGGTTGTTGAGCCTCCGTAGTTGGAGCACCATCGTCCGATGGGCGTGGTGGAGACAGGTTTTGCAGCCAGTTGGTTGGACTGCATAAGGGCCTGGTCCCAGAGCATTTTCCCCAGGCAGTTCTCCCGATTCTTACGTGCCTGCTTAGTGAAGGCCTGACAATGGCCACACTTACCAGTTCTGTGCCCCTCGCCTAAGCAAAGGAGACACAGATCGTGCGGGTCCACAGGGGACATTTTTGACTCGCACTCGGAACATTTAGGAAATGCTGCCCGCTGCGCCATAGGAAAGAGGAAATGAGAATAGAGAAGATAGTAAAGAGGGAAAGATAATCTTTTTTTTTTTTTTTTTTGAAAGTTAAGAGTGAATGAGAAGAACTCTAACGGGGGGAAAAAACTTGGAGATATAGAACAACGATCAACAAGGAATAAGGAACAATGGAGATCAATACTAGTGAGAGAGAAAAGGCTTCAGGCACAGCGAAAGGCAGTCGCAAATGACTGAGAAAATGGTGGACACTTCACTCTATATATAGCATTGAGGAGGAGGGGAGCGGAGTTTCCTGCCAAAAACCATTAGCTTTCTAATCTTTCCGGCCTTAGGCACTGCGTGGGCACAGCACCCATATGTGTGGTGCACAGAGGCCACAATGAAGAAAGTAAGGCATCTGCTGTAATCGCCAGGGTTGGTTCTGGTGGGTTCATGTGGGTTCTGGTGGATTCATGACTCCAATCGTGGTATTGGCCGCATCAGTCCACCACCTGAGGTCTGTCCAAATTGAGGGGGAACTTGAAGCTTGGTTGGGTGGGGCTCTGTCCTGATGTCAAACACAGACAGGAACCAGAGGTGAAGTGATCACATTTATTTACATTTACGTTTATATGCTGCCTCCTACCAAAGTCTGATGATCAGAGTGCATATGAACTTGGTAGCTGCTATGGATGCTTGCTGGGATGGGGCAACAATGAGCCTATCATCTAGGTTAGGATATATGTGGATCCCTTTGTGGTTGAGATGTACACAAAAGACAGCCATGTAATTTGTAAATACACATGGGGCCATTGCAAGGAAAAAAGGAAGAACAGTAAATTGAAAAAAATCATCTCTTACTTGGAAGTGGAGAAAGTGCCTGTATGACTCCTCAACAGAAATGTGAAAGTATGCCTCTTTAAGGTCCACTGAAGTGAACCAGACATTTTTGTGTAGTTGGAGTAGAATAGATTGCAGTGAAACCATCCTGAAGCATTTTGGTTTGATATATTTACTGACCCCTCCAGGTCAAGGATGGGCCAAAGGTCACTAAACTTCTTTGGGACTGTGAAATACTTGGAATAGAAACCAGGAGTTCCAGGGTGTGCCCTCTCTCTGGCTTCCTTTTGGAAGAGGGAGGATATTTCTTCAAGGAGGGGCCTGAAAGGAGTGATCCTTTTTACAGTACTGGGTGGACAGAGGGTTTTAAACTCAATGTGGTGTTCATGGACAATGATGGAAAGCACTCATGAATCCGAGGTGATGGCAGCCCAAGAGTGGAAAAAGGACTGAAGGCAGTGGTTGTAGTATGGATTGGAGGAGTAAACAGATTGGAGAACAGGCTGGATCTATTTCAGTCGGGGTTCAGGCCTGGTTTTGGCACACAAACAGCTTTGATAATCCTATAGGATGACCCATGCCAGGGAAGGGAAGGGAAGGTGTGACCTTATTGATACTACGGAACCTCTCAGCAGCTTTCAATACCAAGTCTAATGTTTTAATTTGTATAAGCTACTGTAGCATTTCTGCATTTCTTTAAAATATGGTTTTAAATTTTGTATAGTTGTAATAGGCCTGAACCCCAAAAAAGCCAGGCCTGTGTCTCTAGCTCTTTAAAATGCTTGCTTCGCTGTGCATTAAAGTCTAGCTGCTTACAATACTACAACAGAGATTTAGTCAGCCTTTCCTTGAATGTTTGCTTTCTTGAAATAAAGGAATTTCCCTTTCCGATATTAAGAAGGCAAAAAGCACACAGAGAAACAGCACATCTGCAGCCTTGATTGTTGAGTGCAGGTGAAAGGCAGTTCAAGCCTATGCTCTGATGTCAGACAGAGGTGGAATCCTGGCCATTCAGGCAGGAATACTCCTTAGTAGCTCATTGTATGTTATTATTTTAGTATCTCCAAATATAGTAGTATCAAAACTATTCTAGTGATCATATAATTATATAGAATGCTGTATGTATGCATTATAATACCTTAAGTTTGTAATCTATAAAAACTTGTCACTTTCTTTGTGCTCTGGTTCCCACTACTTTTGAGGGGGATTCTGCTGTTCTTATCTGAACTCAGCTGATGGGAATCTTATCTTGCAGAAGTCCCCACTGTAGAGAATAAGAGGCTTGCTGTTAAATGCAATAGGTCTAGCTAGCTTGTTTGGTATTACTGTAGTAATAAATAATCTTCTGAGTAGACCTCGAGTTGGCATATCACTCTCTGGAAATCTTAAAAGAACCTACTGCTCATGGCCAGGGCAACACAATAGTAATAGTGCTTTTATTGCTGTTTATATATTATACAATATATCATATTCTGTAAATTGCCCAGAGAGTTTTGGCTATTGGGCCAGTAGAGAAATGAAATGAAATGAAAACCAAACTATTTTGAATAGAGAAGCCAGGCAATAGTCCCTTTTGGATGTTTTTGAAAGAAAACATAAGCTGACACCAATAAGGAAGGCTCAACTATTTGAAAAAAATTGTTTTTCCTGGACTATTTATTGATAGTTTCCCAGTAATTCAGTGTTGAACTGAAGGATCTTGGAAGACAGTCCATGTTATCAAATGCACAAAGGCAGATTTATTAGAAGCTAGAGAAGCTCTAGAAGGAAGAATGAAGTAAAACTGAAATAAGGCATTTATAACTGAAAAACTCAGTAATCAATTCAAGTATCATTCTAAGGAAAAAAAATCTCAGTTTAAGCCAATAAAAAAAATTATCGTACATTTCTAATACAAACCACACAATCCTTTCACCCATTCAGGAATATTATTTGGAAGAGTATTCAAGAATGGGTGCTAGAAGTTAAACAAATTTTAACTAAAGTCACTCCGTTCTGGGCTATACTCTAAAACCGTGATGACAAACTTTTTAGAGACTGACTGTCCAAACTGCATCCCAAAATCCACTTATATATCGCAAAGTATCAACACTACAATAAAACCTGAAAACTGAGGTTTTAGGTTAGAAAAAACAACTCACAGCCAGTCCAAACAAATGCATATATATTCTTGCCAGCACACTGACAGGCCATGCAAAAGCTCGGATGAGTCACGACTAATGAGTCATCACTTGTAACATCGTCGCCTGGCACCCAACTCCTTTCCGAGCATGCGCATGGGCCCAGTGTGCGCTGTTATATGAAGTTCGGCTGGAGGGGCAATGCTGGGATGACTTGCCTCGCATGCCGACAGAGTGGCACGTGCACCTTAGGTTCAGAGGCACTGACCTAACCCTATGCTAGTGTATACCCCAAACCCTAATATAGGGCAAGACTTCCATTGAAAAGAGGGTGATTTTGAAAAAGCCTTCTGTGAGTAGCTTTTTCTGCACAGCTCATCATTTCTGCCCATTCTAAACACATTCCCACCATCAAAATCAGGCCAGGACACCTTGTTTCTCTAACCCTAACCCTACCCAGGTGCACACCCCTAACCCTAATATAGGGCGAAAGTTCCACTGAAAAGAGGGCGATTTGAAAAAGCCCTCTTTTATTGGTTTTTTTGCACAGCTCATCATTTCTGCCCATTCTAAACACGTTCCAATTATCAAAATCATGCCAGGACACCTCGTTTCTCTAACTCTAACCCTACCCTGGGGCACACCCCTAACCCTAATATAGGGCAAAAGTTCCCTTGAAAAGGGCCAATTTGGAAAAAGCCTTCCTGGAGTTGCTTTTTCTGCACAGCTCATCATCTCTGCCCCTTCTAAACACATTCCAGCCATCAAAATCATGCCAAGACACATCGTTTTTCTAACCCAAAACCATCCATTCATCTGAAGAGTGCACTAATGTGCACTCTACAATTCTGTATGCTTTGCATCCTTAAAGAGACACTGAAGTTAGTTCTAAAAAGAAATGTTCTTCATCCCCTTTGTATTGCCTGGATTCAATCCAGGAGAAATATACTCTGTGGAAATTGGGAAGCTGCTCAGTCCAGGTGGAGAACAGGTTAATGGACTGTGCAGAGTCAGGCTGTAGAGGAGAAGCACTGAACCCAAGGGCAGGGACTGAGAATATCCCTCTAGGTATCTGCAGAACTTCCACTAGTCCTGACCCGTTAAAAAATCCACAGAGAAAATGAGATGCCAGTTCGCATTACTAACAACAGCTGCTAGACTTCCAAGCACAGCAGACCCTTTTTGTGTCTTACCAATTACTTTTTATTTATTTAAAACATTTCTATGCCACCCCCATCACAACAAAGCCTCTGGGCGGCTCACAAAGGATACATAAATACATAAATAACAACAATATAACAATTCAAAAAAAATTGTTTAAAAAAAACTGTTCCACTTGTTCAAGCAACCAAGAGTTAAAGAAAACAGAACATACATATTTTCTGTCAGAACTGAGAAGCGTTCAGGACTTACCTCAAGAGGCATCAATCTAATTAGGGTTGCGAAGCACTGAGTGGCCATGAAACGCACGCTATCCGTCTGATCGCTCATTCTGCCCAGAACTGGGACCACAAGTAGAACTATGTAGGGAATAATTCCAACATCTAGCTGCTCCATTACAGCTGGATTAGTAATTAAGGAATTTTATGCCAAGTTCAGAGCCACTTTTATACCAGTTAACAATTATGGGTTATTTTAGGTTTATAGCATGCTTTCCCCTCTTTTCTAAAATGATTTAAAACTGAAAAAGCATCTAAACAGTATATTATACAGGCTTGGATCCTAATCCTAACAGAGTTTCCCTCAAAAGCAGGGATTTCTGGCTTCTTCCTTCCCACTGCACTCTCCTGAAATGATATGCCTGAGGACTGGGGGACCTTTGATAAAGTTACAGCATATGTCAATAGGCAGAAAAAACAGGGATATGTGCAGAAGCTTAAGTACCTTCAGTTTATACAGAGGTACAATTGAATCTAAGCCATAATTACATAAGAGAAAATGTATTTGAGATTTAGGATACAACTAGTCTAATTAAAAACACATTTTGTGACCACTGAATTACTGTGACTATTGTAATACTTTCCCCCCTATTATTGATCTACACATTATCTTCTTACAGGTCAAAGTACACTGAAAGACCTTCCAGCTCAGCCCTGCAAAAAACGAAGATAATGCATTAAAATGGCATCAAAGTGGAATTTTAATCTTTTACACATGCTGTACAGTATAATCTCAAGGGAAAACTAACTTGATTCTAAAAGGAAAGAGATTAGAACTATTTGAGCAATAGGACAAGAAATTCCACTATTGCCTTTTAACTGCCAGAAAAAGGGATATATATGGGTCTCATGCAAGCAGCAAGAAAACTAAACAAAAATTATATTAGGCTTAGCCTTGTAATATGTACTAGATTAAACTTAATTTCTACCTTCTATGTCAAAGTGGTGTAATAGAAGACTATTTGAATTCCACCCAAGGAAATCTAGGTTTAAGTTCTAGTTTGGCCTATTGCTCACTGCTGTATCTCAGTCTACCATTACCTGTCACAGTTCTTGAGAATAAAATATACTACATACAACCATACATATACTGCTTTGATTCAAAGTTAATAGAAGGACAGGATATAAATGCAGTAAAATGCCCTTTTCAGGCCTGCTTCCTAGTTGCAAGCGTGTTTACAATTTAGAGTAGAGAGTATTTGTTATTTTGCCCTTCTCATTTGCACAAACTCCCTCCCTTCCTCATTGTTGATTTCCCCACTATAATATAACATCTATGCATTTTCTTTCTTTCTTTTTTGAAGAACTGGATAGAATTCAGAAGCATAATAGTGCCTACTGGGGGACTGAAGCATGCTAAATATCAAATTGATAAAGGGCTACTGCATTATAGACTGATATCCTATTTAGTACTTGTATCCCTTCACCTACACTATTAAAATTAGTAACAAATTCTCAGTTGAAATGCTATTTTAATGTACTTTAGTGTTTACAGAATTCAAAGCACACTGGCACTGCAGTTTACCATGGTGCATTATAGGCTTCAAGAGCTAACAATTTACTACTTTAGCCACCTCTTCTTTACATTACCCAAACAAAGCCTGTAACCAGTTAGGCTCATACGGCATGGTTCTATTTTCCTTCTGTTCCTTTCTGATTAATAGAACACTGTGCCTCTCTTGCTTTCTTGTTCTCGAAGCATTTTGCAAGTACTAGCTTTTCTCCTTGCCCTTCAGCTGCTACTTTACTCAAGTGGAGTCACAGCAACTGTTACTTGCACTACTCTAGCTATCCCATTACATCTTGACACCAAATATTTATTTATTTATTTAAAACATGTCTATACCATCCTTCACTAAAGAGTCCCAAGACAGTAGTACAATGAAATAAGAGTGCAGCATCAGAGGATAAAATTCACATATGATGGATTTGCTGTTCTCCTTACAGGATTAAGCTTCAAGAAGGGGAGGATATCTAGTGAGTTTGCACAGTTGCTTCGCTGTGCTTCAAATATGCTCACGGAGACTCATAATTGCCATACAATTGTGAGACTATTATTTGCCTTGCTTTTCCTAGCTGAGGCTTCTTTTAGCATCCTGCTGCTGATGCAGTTGGAATACAAAAATAAGAAGCTCTAACCCCTTGCTCTAGTTAGGTGGAGCCTAGGACTTGTTATTTCACTGTTCCACTTCCACTTGACACCTTTCTGCTAAACCTGGAGTTCAAGCTCAAGAGCAACATGGAGAGAATTCTCATACAACTATAAATATGATCCATGTTAATACATGTAATTCTGGGCAAGTGGAGCAAAAGACTGAAGCGTAAATAAGTCTTCTGAATTTTCTATACAGTTCTCTTTCTGCCACCATGCCTGGAATCAAACAATTACACATACTATTCTAGTCAGAAGCAAAGGACTCTGGTCTAATACAATCCTGAAAAAAATCACTTTAGTTTTACTTCAAGGTTTCACAAAGTTTACGAAATGATTCCACTAAACCATACATTGAGTAATTGATATTTAAAGTAACACATAAACAATTTTGTCTTATAATTAGGAAAGGATACAGGCAAGAGCTTCAATTGCACCCTCTTGCTTAGTGCTGTCATCTATTGCTCCCAGCCAAGGAAGGACCTTTTCCAAGAAAATGTTAATTGTTTCTATGGTAGCTATTTTGCTCATTACACCTACACAACGAGCAGCCATATGTCGCACTGCAGTGTAAGGATGTTGTAGGCACATACAAAGATAAGGCAAGTGCTGTATCAACTGCAAAAAAAAAAAAACACAAAACAAAAAATAATATATTCACTTTTATAAACATGTCAGATGCTATTTAAAAAGCATTCTAGTAGCTTAAAATGGTGTGACCTGCATGATTAAAAAATCTCATGTATTAGAGATACATCTCTAATTACTTGCACCTGAAACAGGTGAAAAATGAATAGTTTATGTGCACATTTCAGCATACAAATGAAAACATATTAAATGTTTTGGCTATCTGACTATCTCTAAAGTCATGGTAATCACACTTAGGATGGAAACCAATGAACATAAGCCTCCAAACTAAATGGCTCACACTCAGTGTATGCAGAGCCAGAGAAGAGTCAGAGAGAAACTTTGCCTCCTCACTTCTCTGATTCTGTATTTTTGTTAAAACAGTCATTTTTGGCCATCTAGCAAGAGAGTTTTGGAAGGGGAGTGATGGAAGACAAGAGAGATATTCTGGCCTCTCCAATCAGCATTCCTCCTGCCCTCCAAATACCCCCTTCTTTCCCTTTCTTCTTAACCTCAGAGAAGCTGGTATGGTTCTTTCCATAACTGCATGGGGGTAGAAGTGGAGCTCTGGTCCCAAGGTCCGAGGCCAGCCTTCTGTTTCTGACCTTGAACCAGGGAATCTGAAAAATCATATAGTCCCTCAGGTAATGTCTAAGTTCTTTTCCTGAATTTATACTTCCAAAGATCAACTCAGAAAAAAGGGGAGAATGTTTGTATTACTCCTTCTTATACTACTGAAAATCACTTTACAAATGATTTTAAAATAGACTCAGGAAGTAAGTTACATCTTTCAAAGCACAATACAGAAATTCTAAGAACTGTGTTACTACTCAGTACTCCATTTTAAAATACTCATATTTGTAATGGGAAAGTATGCTAGAAGTTACTTTCAAGTCAATTTAATTACCAAAGGGTGAAGTTGAGCATCCATAGAAGCTGCGGTTGTTTCAAAAACCTGTAGAGAGTTCACCAGTTCCTGGGCTGGTCCGTCTCCTTTTTCCAATAGTGATTTTCTATCTATTAGAAGAAATAACTTGTATCAGAAAACTCAAAACTGAACAAGAAGCAGCTAAGCAGAGTGGGGCTTAATAGTAGGCAAAAAAACACCTATCCTTCTGCTTGATGTGTAAGTGCCTGCCAACAGAAGACTTTTTTGCTTTGGTTTTCATTTTAGTTTTGTTTACTTGCTTTGCCTTATTTGTCTGACTGTGGCAGCTTGCTGCTGTTTGCACCTGGGGACTGAACTGTGCCGTAGATGGATCTAGTTGGTTGTCTTTGTCACTTGAGGCTTAGGTAGCCTCAGTGGCATGGAGTGCATGCTACCATCTTTGGTTAGTGGTCCAGTTATTTCCTCTTTTGGAAAGCAACAGCAATAACTGAAAACAGACAGTTCAGGCTGTCTGAACACCAATGCTGGCTTGCTTGTACTGGTTGTCTGTCAACTTCTGAGCCCAATTCAAGGTGCTGATTCTAAACTATTCTAAACTATAGAGCGTTATACAGCTTGGGACACCAAGACCTGATGGAGCATCTCTCCTGACCTGAATACTACATAGTATTACTAGATACTACATTCAGATACTTCATTCAGATACTAGATACTACATTCAGTATTTGAGATTTCCCTCCAACTATTTATTTATTTATTTATTTATTTATTTATTTATTTATTTAAAACATTTCTATGCTGCCCCCATCGCAACAAAGCCTTGGGGCGGCTCACAAAGAATACATAAAAACATACATAAATAATAATAATTAAAAGAAACATTTAAAAAACCCCCAGTGCATTATCGGCTAAAAATTTTAAAATCCTAATTAATTCAATAATTTAACAATTAAAATAAGTTTTAAATAAAAAGGTCTTAGCCTGGCGCCGAAAAACAAATAACGATGGCGCCAGGTGCCAAGTACAACCTCCAAGGGAGTCCTGAAAGGTAATAACATGGGTAAGAAGATTTCTCAGTGGTGGTCTCCAATTACAAAATGAGCCCTCAAATGAGGCACCACATTAAGATCTTCAAGACATTCAGTGTCATCGAATAGCATATGGGGGAAAGTTCATACTTGTCTAACTGTATTAAAATTATTTAGTTGTTCCAAATGATTTATAATAAGTTTCAAATTTTTGAACATTAAATTTTTATGCAGTTTGCATTGTATTATAATTTGCATTTTTATCAATTGTTGTGAACTCCCTGGATAGCTTCAGTTATCCAGTAGTGTAACACTGAAAAAAAGAAATAAACCTTATAAGTAGGTGGATTTGACTTAAATTAAATCAATTTAAATCACGATTTAAATCACTAGTCAGTAAAATGAGATTTAAATCATGGTTTCACACACATGCCTGTCTTACTCATAAGAAGATGAACTTCATTAAAATATTCCCAAACTGGGTCTCTTTTACAGCCTGCTGCCATTATAGTTTTGGTTTTCTCCTCCAAAGAAAGAATAATATGATAAGCCTCAGGCTATACACAAAACCATCCAAAGACATGTGGAGTATTTTGCTCAAAAGGGTTCACTATTATTTTTACTGCTTGCCCCTCCCTCCTCACACTTAGCTTCTTCTGCAGATCTATTCCACTTCCAACAATCTTCTATTCATTGAATTTTCTGATACTTAACACTTGGTAAGGGGTTGATTCTGAGTACATAGATTAAGGTATTTTTCTCAACTATGTATGTTTATTTTATAATGTTTTTGCTGGGAAGAAAATGCATGTGATCTTTGCAGATACACATTCCCAGTTTTGAGAAGTGTAAAACCAAACATCTATGATACTATCTACTAGATAGAAAAACTGCCCGATAATCTTACAGAAAAAAGCTGGAAGAGCATAACATTGTAAATGGATTAATGGAATTCATTTACCAAAACATTCAAACATTGCATGAATATACAGCCCCATGCTACATAATTAAAAACTAATCCTTATTTCATGATGAATAACATTTGGACTATAATATATCTCAGAAAACTATATTTGGACAGATTCTTCCGCAAAAAGCATTTTACTAAAAAAACCAATTAAAAATGTTTTAAATAAAATCCACTGAAAAATCATTGCTTTTTATCCACGCTACTTAATTAAGTACCCTAAGAATTATACATACCAAAGCTGTTAATGTCAATATTGTTCCTTAAAGAACCAATCATGGCATCCCAGAGATGAGGCAAGCCCACTGCCATTTCACCACCAAAATGCTTGGCAATAGTGGACAGAGCAAATTCTGCCCCTCTTCTTTGAACAATATAGGGCTTTTGAGCCTACAATTTAATAAGAGGGAGAATAAAAGGGAGAGAGAATAAAGCACACTTCCATCCATCTTTCTGCCCGCCCCACTCTCTGCAAAATTAAGGAACTGTCCTAGACTCTCTGCATATCAAGCTGGTAAGAGAAAGAAACAACCTATAAGACATCAGGGTTATCTAATCCAAGTAAAAACAGAAGGGCTAGACAACTGTCACTGATCAGCCAGCACTTGGAGACAGAGGCAATTATAAAACACTTATTTCTCCAGAATTAGAGCTAAAAAGACAAATAATACAGTGGTACCTCGGCAAAGCAGTGCTTGCAACCCCAACCCCAGCCAACCCATCCAGAAGGACACCATGGTTGATGGTGTTGAAGGCCGCTGAGAGGTCAAGGAGAACCAACAGGGTCACACTCCCCCATCCCTCTCCCTGCACAGGTCATCATACAGGGCGACCAAGGCTGTCTCCATTCCAAACCCAACTAAAACCCAACTGAAATGGATCCAGATAATCTGTATCCTCCAAGAGTGCCTGCAACTGTCCAGCTACCACCTGCTCCAATATCTTGTCCAAAAATAGGAGATTAACAATGGGCCAGTAGTTATCCAGTACCCCTGGCTCCAGGCCTGGCCTTTTAAGGAGTGATCTCACTATTGCCTCCTTTAAAAGGGCAGGGACCACTCCCCCTCTTAATGAGGCATTGACAGCCTCCCGGATCCAGGGCCAAACCCCATCAGATCTCCCAATCAACCAAGATGGGCAAGGGTCAAGAAGGCATGTGGTGAATCGGACAGAACCAAGCACCTTGTCCACATCCTCAGGTCTCAGTAACTGAAACTCATCCAATAATGGACCATTAGATGGTGCACCAGACACATCTGAAGATTGCACTGCACAAGTGGCAGAGTCAAACTCCAGGCGGATCCAAGCGATTTTTCCCTCAAAGTGAGAAGCAAATTAATCACACAGAGCTGTCGAGGGCTCTGGGGTCTCATCCGGAGAACCAGATTGTAGGAGAATCCCGGACCACTTGAAAAAGCTCAGCTAGACAACACTGTGAGGAAGCAATCAGGGAGGCAAAGTATCTACACTTTGCCTGTCTTATTGCCACTAAGTAGGCTCAATAATGAGCTCTTACATGTGTCTGATCGGACCCATCATGAGACTTCCACCACCTGTGTTCTAGCCGTCTCCCTACCTCCTTCATTGCCCTCAGCATATTATTATACCACAGTGCTGAATGGGGTTATCAGTAGGGAGAGGGCACTTTGGCACAATCAAGTCAATAGGCCAAGCCATTTTCCTATTCCATGAGACAACTTGGTCATCAACAGAAGTGCCAACCATATCAGCCAGATATTTCCCCAAAGCCCTTTGGAAGCCATCAGGATCCATCAGACTCCGAGGGCAAATCAATTGATCTCTCTCCCTTGCAAAGGGGGAAAGGAGGCAACAGCCTAAACCTAACCAGGTAGTGGTCCGACCATGACAAAGGGACAGATGTTAGTCCCTCCACATCAGAATCCCCATTGCTCTGTCCGATAGAAAAGACCAGGTCCAGAGTGTGACCTTTCTCGTGTGTCAGGCCAATGACATGCTGAGACAGCCCCATGGTTGTCTTGGGGCCATGAGGTCCTCAGCTGCCTTGAATAAAGCAGCCTTGGCATGGAAGCTGAAATCCCCCAGGAGCAACATTCTCACAACCAGGTGTGAGACCTCCTCCAGCTCTGGTGTGCCCACAGCTGGAATCCTGTGCCCAATTCTGGACTCCACATTGTAAGAGAGACATAGCTAGGTTAGAATCAGTTCAGAGCAGTGTCATAAGAATGGTAGCCAGATTGGGGGGATGCCATATAAGATGATATTGAGGGAGCTGGGTCTTTTCAGACTACAGGAGACTTAAAGGGGATCTTATAGCTACATACAGGCATGCAAAGGGATTCTACATTCTAGAGGGTCATGACCCGTTCTCCCTTGAAGTAGAGGAAAGGATGCAGCCCAAGTGGGGAAAGCTCAAGGAACCAGGTTTTGGGTTGGATTTCAGGAAGCACTTCCTGATGGTTAGGACCCCTAGGATATGGAGTGGGCTTCCACAGGAAGGGAGCGGGCATCAGTGAGCGTGCTCAAGGAAAGATTAGACAACCACATGTTGAATATTAAGTGGGTGGAGCTGGCTGGAGCCAGGAGTCAGACTAAATGGCCTGGGAGGCCCTTTCTGTCTTGCTATGTTTTTATGAAGTTTTCATATACATATAACTTCTAATCTACAAAACTAGCTGAACTTTTTCTAAGGGAACAAGACATTCATCTTTAAGGACTGGTTTATTCACACATATTTCCCAATGAAAGTTTGCATGTGCCAATGAAACACCACTAGCTAAGCAGAGCTTCATATATTGATCCCAAAAGACTACAATATTTTTCAAAAATGAAGTGAATTAACATAGCCACATACAT